TTTTTTTTTTTTTTTTAAACAAACTGACCCCAACATGGGTGCAGCAGGACTGGATTACTGTGATTTATGACTACATCTTAAGAGAGGAACAGGATGTCTTTCGTCTCCAAAGCACATTCTATTTTCAAGTCTCAGCAATTTCTGTAATGGACAAATATATTTATACGTTCGCCTATTATCGACACAGCCACATACTAGCGAAGAATTAAATCCCCAAATCCTAAGAATTTTAGGGAGCAGATACACCTTCTGTCCTACCATAAAAAGCTACAAAGAAGATACTCAAACTAAGCTAAGAATACCGAGCATTCTAAGGAACCCCACGCTGGAAGGAATTTTGCTGTCAATTTATTTTACACAACTGTCATATCTGAGAATTTACCTTGGTTTTCAATAATGCTATTCTCATAAAAGAAAAAAAATTGCCAGACCTTGCGTCCTTTCAGATCGGTCTGAGAACATGGGACAATTTAACTGACAACAGGCCTAAAGAGAGATGGGATACCTGCTGTATTGCAGATTTGGGATTTGTCTTTCTACTTTGCAGTTTTTTTTCAATTCCTTTATGCAATCTGATATATCCACCTTCACTAACAGAACGCTGGCGAAGCTTGCTTTTGTAAGTATCATCTTGGCCGGAAGTTACGTTTTCCGGCTGTGAAACAGGAATGCTCTGTTCTTTGCTTTGCCTGCCATGATTTTGCTTGAGTGCTTCCGAGGAGTCTTCAGAAGCAGCCTCTGCTTCTGCTGTACTGCTTTCATTCTGATCTGTCTCAGTTTTTGTCTGACTTTGCAGGTCCACGGCTTCCACAACTGACAGCTCAGCCTGTACAGACACGGTGCTATTTGACATGCACTCCACCAGCTGCATTTTGACATGATTTCCAGTTGTTTCACACTGTGCCACAGGCTTTAAAAGCTCATCAGTGGTGGCCTCTGCAGGCTCTGGGGGCAGGAGGTCAGCCTGGGGTGCTGCTGCCTCCTCCTCTGGCCCAGCAGAGGAAGGAGCTCCGTTCACAGCCGCTGCCACTTCGCTGGCTGCCAGCTCCGCTGTCACAGGCTGTTCAGTACCGTCCGCAGGCTGCATCTCAACTTCAGTTTGCTCTGCTAAATTTTGTGTTGACTCCACTGTATGAATATCTCCCTTTTGGTACACTGTAATTTGCTTCTCTTCCATCTGTTTGTGCACATTTTCACAGATTTCTAGGACCTCTGACATGAAGAGATGTCGGGCAAGCATGGCCACTTCTGCCATACTACAAAAGTCAAAAGTTAATTCTGAAGTATAAGCAAATTCCAACAGAGGGAGAAAACTTGACTTGCAAAACCCTGCCAGGAATAAAACAAGAGATTAGAGCAAATACAGATGACCTCACATGATACCAAAATATTCCATGCTGGGTACAACAGTTCACCTTTCATACGGTTAAGTCTGGAATGTACAATGAAACACGCTTGCAAATATCACTGAAGCCCCTGCCCCGGGTCTCAATTCATTATCATTTACGCAAAAGCACCTCCTGCTGTATTTTGTGCATCACGTCAAACTCAGACAAATTTTTCAGTAAGTAAAATTGAGGTATTTTTATACAAAAATTCTCTGGAAGATTGTTTCAAGATGCTAGGAGGGCCACAATATTCTTGAAACAGGTTAACCCTAATTTAACCAATGTCTTTTTGGACTTGCCACATTGCAGAAAGTAGTGAAGACTTCAATAATTGATGCAGCAGAGAGATAAGACAACTAAGTGGTTAATGAATAAAAAGACATATAAGATATAAATGCTTAAAAATAAACACATGGTGTAAATTTTCCGGAAGCCCAATCATAAATATTTAATTTTGGAGAACTTCTGGAGCATCATGCCTGAAAGACATTGCTCACGAATGTCTGCTGTTCAAGCAAAGATTGATGCAGGCAGAAGATTAGAGAGGAAGCAAAGGAAAAGACATTTCTACAATACTCTCCATCGCCAAGAAGCTATTTTTGGAACATTTATTTTAAGAACATTTCCTATCTTTAAGGTTACAGAAGGATTGAAAAATAAGCAGAAACATCTATAGCAACGTTTTACAGACATAGGAGACAATTAGGTATGCGCTCAGCAAAACAGCTGTTTGAGAAGCTAGTGAATATCCCTTCTTGCTGTATTCAAGCATTTGATTATGTTCCCTGTTTTTTGATGACTGTGACTAATACAAGGAAGACACCTTAACAAGCTAAAAATCAACCCGAAACTTCCCAGGAGTTATGAGATGAAATCCTATAGTCTGTTCAACACGGAAGATCATCAGACTATGCAAAACCAGAGCGATAATTTTACCATTAAAATCAACACAAAATACTTCTAGATTACAAGAAAAAAAGCAAGATAAAAGTGTTTGATTTTCTTGAACATTCAAAAGAAACTACATCAAATGCTGTAAACCTTACTTAGGACATTACGATTCCTATCTTTGAAACCCACAACAATTCACCTGACAGATCCACTACAGCTTCATGACTAGACACAGCTCCCTTTTCAATGAAGAGCTCTCGGAAGTACTCGCTGTTGGCTGCCAAGACAGATTTGTGAGCTTTGTACTCCTCTCCTTCAATCAGCAGAGTCACATCACAGAACTGATTGGAAAGCCTCTGCTGATTCAGTTGGTTTAAGACTGACAGACAATGTTTGGAAGATGACTGCTTCACAAGGCCCTTACTGTCAACCTGTCATAAACAACATTATGAAAACTTCATTACATTTAGATTGTGCCTCTTTAAGCATTTACACTGAAACACAGAAAAGGATTATTTTCTGCAACCAAAAAAAATCAGTTGAGGTCAATTTAATATAATGGTTAATTTTACTATTGTTCTTTCTTTAAAATGTTTCAAGTCTCCCCCACACTCCCAACACACAGTTAAAACAGATAACCGGAAAAATGAGGAGCTGTGGATATCCAAACAATTCTTTGCTTGTATTTTTCAGCGCTACAATCTGAAATGATTTCTAGATTCAGAAGTCTATATGCATATGGACCCTCCATTACTATCATCCAAAATTTATTATACAAATATAGCATTATTTATTAAAGAACAGATATAGATTCCATGAGAATCTTGTATGTGATGTATTACTACAAACATTTTTGGAATTCATTTCCCCTTAGGTACTATATGCATAAAGGGAGGCGTAATTTTTGACATGCTATAATTGATTTCATGTCATATATACCAATTGCCTGTTTCTATATACCCAACATATTTGGCAAAATTTATGCCATCTTATTATTGCAAGATCATCACAAGAACGGAAAATAAGTCTGTCACTAAGACTGTTAACAAACATCTTAAATACATTCAGATATAAACAATGTTACTTACAAATACAAGCTCATGCTTTGCTATTGGCTTCTTCTTCACAGGCTTTGGGAACGCAGCTGGGATTGATGCCGTATTACTCAATTCCTCATCTGTTTCATTACTGTCTTCATGAGATTTTGCATCCAACCCTAGTTCCTCTAGCATTTCAGAAGGATCTGACAGAGATCTAGAGCGATCTAGCTTTTCCTGGCACTTACTGCATTCTTTAATGTAATCTTTAACTTGCTTAAGAATACCTAAGAAAAAATGAATAGAGCTTGATTAGGCTTCTAATCTTCATTTAATTTACTTTAAAGATGTAATCAAGTATGTAACTGATTAACAAAAACATATTACACACTTATTAGAAAAAAATAAAGTCAGTCATCTACACTTTCACTGACTTCTTTTCATCAATTCTGCCTCTCTATCATTCTATTGTATGTGAACATAATTACTGTAATCCACAGTTAATTTGGGATACAAACATTTCAGATCATTAGATCAGACAAACCATCCTAGAAAGATTTTAAGGACGTTAAAAAATATTCCTATGTACACATTTGCCTCAAGAATCCCAAGACATCACAAACTGTAACACTGATCTTGCATTTAGCTTCCTGGAAGTGGATCTCAGAGCTCATCCTCACTGCAGAGAACAGGAATTGGAAGACTCATGTAAAGGCAGTTGCACAATTGTGACTGTTATATGCGGTGACACTCATACCTATTACTAATGCTGATTTAGGTCAATTGCTTGTGTTTTTTTAGGTGTACCTAATTTTAGGCACTCAACAGTTCCTAAGTTTAGGGCCCTCTTATAGATACCAAGGCATTTTCAGTGAACAGCTTTCATCTCAAATTCATTCATTTCACTAGGACACCATAAAAGCATACACGCTGACAGCTTTGCCTCAATAGTTCAGAAACCTACCACAGCTCAAAAACTCAGCGGACATGGAGTTAGGGTTGCACTGCTTGCACCTTTCCAGAACGCAACGTTCTCTATCACTGTTCTACATACCTCTGTAAGAACCAGGAAAACACAGACTTCAGACCTATTCCAACCCGAGACATTCATGCCCCTTTGAAACGTTTTTACATTTTCTTGATTTCAGCAGCAACCAGGACTAGTTCTCAGGCCATAAGGTATGGACCCTCGTCTGCAGATCTAATAACCTTCTTGACCATCTTAACCTTCTTGATGCTAGAACAGTCTAGTATTGAGCAGACAATGAGAGCCCAGGTGGAGGCAAGGAGAACATAATCCAAAATACATGCATCAGCTTTGAGCCACCAAAGCCTTTTCCACACCGAAGTTCTTCAAACCAATGAGACCTGGCCTGGAAGAATGGGCTGCAGCTAGAACAAAACCACTACATTTTAAGATAGGGAACACTAGAGCATTGACAGATTTGCTGACTGGCGCCCGAAAAAAGCAGAACAAGAGAAGCAGTATCAACAGAAGCTGAAAAGCCAGAAATTTGTTTAACGGATACATAATACTAAAAGTCGAACACCAAATCCAAAGGGAACACAGGTATCCCGTTATTGGCTCAGCCAAAGGAAAGCTACGACGGGGGAGTATCGATGCTTAATTCACTACCGCTTCTAACTGCTGTGACATCACTCAGGCCCCAACACAGGATTAGTTCTGTGTTTTCAGCTTCTTACTGGAGAAAAGGGAAAAACGTAAGGACGAGGGCAAAGATCATGAACAACTAGTGACAGATCTCCTATTCATAAGGGGGGTAAAATCCATGGGTTAGCTGAAAAAAGTATCACTAGGTTAAAGGCTGAAAGAGATCACGTGGCATGGATTACCATTCCATATAAAATGTGAAAGTGAAGAAATCTCTACCTTAAGTGGTCTGTATTGGATTGAGACTGTTAGGCTCTGTGTTTCCATACATTCGAAATACCGCTACTGATTTGAGAAGCCACAAGCAAATCCGCCGACAAACATGCAACTCGCCCAGCAGGGCCTATGGCTGGGGACATGACCTGCAGCGACAGCCTACAGACTGTGCGTTTCGGGATGGAGGGTTTGAAAGGCCCCCACCCCTCAGCAAGCAACCATCCCCTCAGGCTGAAATCTGCTTTGGCAGGGCACTGCTCGCTCCCCCTCAGGACCTATCAACTCCACACGGAGTTGCTCTTTGTCCACACGGCAAAGTTTCGCTTTCCCGAAGGCAGCCAGGTTGAAACCCTTGAGGGGAAAGGGTAGCCGGCAACTGTATCGCTGCTGTCAGTCTGAGACTGCCTAAAATAACAACGCAATCGCATAATCGCATTAAAAAAAAAAAAAAAGGCAGAAAGAAAACTCCCCCAAAACCCAACACCAGAGAGCAGC